TGTTTTCTATAAAAGACAACCATCTGCTCCTTTATGTTTCATATTTATTTCTTCTGTGTTTTACTGCTTTTTTAGCAGTAGTGCCAAGAGCACAGTGAAGAAAGAAGTTAATTTTCTAGTGACATCAGGAAGGCACTAAGACTACTTCAGTTTCCTACAGCTAATCAATTTCAGTCCTAGAGAACAGAATTCATTACAGTGAGGTAGATTACAGGCTGGTTAGAGTCTGACACAAAAATGATTTGAATTCCAATGTATTAATACAACAAAACCTAATCACAACCTTCCAAGGATCCAACAAAATATAAGGTTATTTTTTAACCAAGCCATGATAGTCATCATTCTGAAAATGGAAGGTGCTTATATTCCTTATCATTTGACACTACCATCACACACAGAGTGCTCATCAGTTCCTGTACCGTGTTTGTCAGGAGTCTTCTGTTAAATAGCTGGGAAGAGATCATTCCTGACCAGAAATGCAAATTACCTAAGTCAAACATAGTAAATGCTCAAATCATTGATTTGCCTCCTATACCACTGCATGACAAAGATGGCACTTATTTCTCCAAAACTACCCTTAACCAGAGTTGAGTGTTAATAAAGACTTTCAGTTCCTCATAGGACAGTGTCAAACTGAGATCAAATTAATATGAGGGAGCTTGCCCATATCATGCAACTATTTTCACTGTTATATCAAGAGTTTCAAAGTATCATGGTCTTAAAACTATGCTTTCGCTCTTTTCTGAATCACTAACTTGGAGGAGGCTTGGGGAACAACAGCAACATTATTTTTCTGAAAACCTCTCAATTGAAAACAGACCAGATGCAGTCAGAAAGCTCCAAGGATCACCAGCAGTATGCGTTGTGGCTGGACAGACTCCCCACCCAAGAATCGCCTACAGGAAGATGACAGGGTTTCCACAGGCGCTACTGCAGCCCGGAGGCAGCACCAGCAGCCTAGGGCTGCTCCCAGTGCACATATGCAACTTGCCAATTAAAGGCTGTTTTCATCCCTAATCTCAACGGAAGTCTTCTGTGTACGAGTTCAGGAAGAAAGAAGTTCATTTCTAAGTTAGTATGGAGAGATTTAAAATTAATAATATAATGAAAAAAATTATAATTAGAGCATTTAATAGTCATGTTTTCTTTCATGTTGTATGGGCAATTTTCAAGACCTGCTTGTGCACCAGATGTTATGATAAGACATGGCTTAACACTGATCTTTGCAAGCAACAAAAGATTTTGGTATGGAAGCAGGCTACTTGATGCAGTGCAATGAAAGTTTCTTATAAATGTTCCAACAAGGCGGTAATCCCTGTGAATGAATTATGATTTCAAACATTTTCTGTTGATTTAGAACACAATTTTTAAAGTAAATAGCTGTTTTTCAAAACACTTGAAAAAACTTTATCTTTAAAATTAATATGTGATGGGAGTTTTAATATCTTTATTTTTTATGTCATCTATGATTATGTTTACTTTTCATATTTCCATGGAATAATAATCTTTTATTTTAAAACATGGCACTTTCAAAAAGTTTCCCTGAAAATGCATTTTTATATATTTAAAGAAAAAATAAGTCAACTTAAAAAGAAAAATCCTTTAAAACAGCCCAAATTGCCAACCAGATAACGTCTGAATAAAAGAAACCTTTTAATAGCTGCATTTGTTATTACAGAGGTTCTTCTGCTTGGGTTGAAAAAGTAAAACAGTAGTACAATTACTGGCACCAACACAGTGCCCTCTGGAGACTCTCAGCTCAGGAACAAGCTGAAATCACTGTGATGAAATTGCAGTGAGGAAATAAGGAGAAAAAAGCCTTCAGACCCCTCTCTACCGATAACAATAGAGGCTGCTATTTATTTTTGTGTTCTAGCTCAAGTAATTCATTTTTAAAAGTATTTCCCTTCATCACTGTTAATTACTGTAACTACTCCTCTAGCCATTATTTTGGTTATAAGAATCATTCCTGCCATCAAAATAAAGTGTTACTTAATTGGGCATTGAACAAATCACTGCACTGTATCCCTTTTAGTAGCTGGACAACAAACAAATTATATGGTTGCAACTGTGTGTTTCTAATGCTTTATCAATCTCACACACAGCAGTGAGCGTCCTCATAAAGTGAAAAGGATGCACAAGTGGATTAGTAAAAACTGTTAAGCAAATTGCTGCTCTGTAGCTCGTCCTGTAGAGTACACAGCATTTGGAGATGTATCTGAGCCACTTGGCTGAGGAACCGGTACTCTGACTCCGCGGCTCCACACAGATCAGCTGTGCAAGTCCTATCTGTAGCTATCTTCCCTGGAGACTGTGACCTGTGCTTTCTAAGAAAGTTATGTTGAATCTTCCTGGTTTTATTTTTATGATCACTATTTTTATTTTGAATGAACTTGAAATTGTGTGGAAAGGAAGGAGAGACGTGATGTCATTACCCTCAAACTATATTTCAGTCTCATCAGGGTTTCAGAGGAAGAGTGGAGGTGTTTCTTGCAAACCAGCACAGAAGGACCTAAGGGCACTGTGTACACACTTCTGAGAAAATCAGCCTCCTCCGAGCTGCTCCTTCGCCTGCCATTGCTAGAGGAGCGTGGGGCAGGACCCTCCATCTCAGGTTGTGCACCACTTCCAACTCGTAGTTTCCCAAGCTGTGGCTCTTGAAACGACACAAAGCCCTTCTGCACCATGGAGGTGTTTGTGTGTGAACTGAGGTGAGGGAAAGGGGGCTAAAGGTGCCCATTCCCAGAGCAGCCTTTCTCCTCCCACAGGAGGAAGCTCAAGGAGAACCTGAGGGCACATCAACCCAGTGTGGTGCTTCTTCAGAGTCCAATGTACTAATGTGTTAGTCCAGGCCTTAGAGGATCAGTAACTTCATAAAAAGCCCGCACGCTCACAAACAATACTCATTGTCAGTTCCAGCGGGATGGACAAAGCCTGGCTAGAGAGTGGGCCCAGTTACAGTATAATGATATGTCAAGGATATCCGAGCTGCTACTGCCCTTGACAAACCCCTCTAACGCAACTGAGGGCTGGCTCCTTTCCAAGCTTCATGATTTGGTACATTTTGCTAGCACTTTATTTTTTTCCCCATTGGAACAGAGAGAGATAGAAGGAACAATGCAAAAATAAATGTCAGTGGGGGAAGGGAGGGGAAATAGGACAGATAAAAATAAGGACAATTTTTCTCCTCAATTATTTGACTAATATGGATATTTAATATTCTGGCCTCAGTCACTGGTTATAAATTTCTGTTTGGAAAAAAATAGGACAATAAAAAAAGCAGAATATTTGGAAATATTTTTCCTTCTAATCCCCCTATCTCCAAATTATTGCCTGTTTCACTCAGAAGACCTATTTCTGGCCTTCCCAGTCTATGCACAAACTGCTGCTACTTCCCTTTCTAGACAAAACTCTTAGGGGCCACAGATGGCTGAATTATGGAGAAACTAGTCAAATCTACACTTGTCCTTCCTACTCTCAAACTACCATGACAGCTAATCTGTTTGACTGTGTTAGCTGTTGTTTCAGAATTACAGGATTAAAGCCATAGGCACTTGGCAGTTATTTTTAGCTAACTTTCCTCATTTATGTTATGATTTAGACACAAATATCATAGTGGCAATTTTTCAAAAGCAATAACTTGCCACTGAGAAACTGTATATATTGACTGTCTGACACGAAACATTTTGAATCTTAGACTATTAGCACAAGAGAACCATAAAAACCTTATGCTTTCATTGTTCTGCAAAAATTGTTTAATCTTACCAAGGCTATTACACATATCCAGCAGATTTCAAATCAGTCAAGAGACTAAAATTGCCCAATTAGCTTAAGAAAAACTGTTTTCCAAGTATATACTCATATCATTTCCACAAAGGCTATACCATTATGTCATAAAAAGGAATAGCATTAAATATGTATTCATGAAGAAGTTTTTTTTCTGAAACATTTTAAATCCACTGACACCTTTGAGACAAACATTCGTGTGCTGTTCCACAAAATTCTCACACTATATGACAGTTTAGAAAGCAACTCATCCCACAAATCAAGCCAGTAAAAAATGTCATTAGATCCTATTAAAGCTGAAAAAATGTAACCGAAAAATTTACTCTAAACCAGTAATAAATTCAAATCCAGTACCACAGTGTTCAAGGTTAAATTCAAATGCTCTTAAATTTAGAAGTCATCAAGTTAATATCCATATGTATATTCTTGGCATCAATGCTTTTTCAAGCTTGCTGTGGGGGTATTTCAAGCTTGATTTCAGCTCCTTAGTTCATACCATGACCTATTTCCAAGCCAGTTCTGTTATTATATGATGAAGTATTCTGGACAGAGCAGTAATACAGAAATCTTCCTTTTTTTTCCTTCTTTTTCTTTTTAAAGAGAACATTTTCTTTAAGAATTAATTTAATTAAAAAGACTATCAAAATCTTTCCTTCCTAGTGTGTTACATATTCATTTATTTTTCAAATGATGTATCTGATGCTTGCTTCTAAGCACTTTTCTTTGCCCTAGACCTGGCAACTGGAGATGACATGACATATCCCTAGCAGCATCAGTGGGGTGCACTATTAAACTCATTCTATTGTTTTGGTACCCTACTAAGACTGATGCATATTGGCTTCCTCCTCAAACATAATTTTGCAAATATTATGTTGCATGTCTGTGAGGAAAGAGGTACCTAAACCAGCTCCTGTCTTGCACAAGCACCTGGGGAAACTACAGTGTTCTGTGTGCTGTTTGGAGACGTGCTGTTACAAGAACTACTGCACACAGACCTCTGCTCAGAGCAATGGCTAGATGGCAATTTTAGTGCAAACCAACAAAAGGATGAAGATTACGTTATTAAGCCTAATCCATACAGACTGATCAGGACACTGTTCTGACCTACGTTTCCTTTTATGCAATAAAATAAAAGACATAATTTCATACATCCCAGATCTCATTAAACCTTTAGCAAGTGGAATTAAATCCAGAAGAATCTGGACTTACTATACCTCACTAAACTGTTGGCAGCGTCAGGATCTTGTGCCGTTACTGTACCAACAGCAGTCCCAATCTTCGCATTTTCATAAACTTCCATGACATAGGAAGGCATAGTGAAGAGCGGAGGTTCATCCACATCGCCAACAATGATCTTCAACATTGTTACATCTTTGAATGGTCCCAAGTGCGAAAAGCGGAAATCAAGGTGAGTATTTGCTCCTTCTATATTCAGTGTATATGATTTCTTTTTTTCATAGTTAAGTGGCTGTTGGCAGAAAAAATGTTTTATCAATACCATGCTGTGCTTCAGTTTAGCCTGCTAGCAAGCTAACTGCATCTTTTCTGTTTAACATAAACCACATTTCTTCACGTTACTGGAAAGGGATAATATTCTGTGATATTCTGTGAGCCATTACCATACCTTGTAAGTAGAAGGATATACATGAAGCAAGATAGATTCAGGTTTTCTCTACAACAGAATTGTGAACAAGGTACCAGTTCTTAAAAAAATTCAGGGTTTAGAATGAGCATCAGATTCTTCTTCTGATAATGTAAAGTCTCTGAATTTTACCTCCTTTCGATTTATATTCGTCAATGCTAAATACAGAAAAAGCTACAGCTTGACGTATCTTAAATTAAATTAACTTCATATTTTTAATTGACACGTTTAATAGACAGTGTTAGGGATACTCAAATTCTTTTGGACATCTCTTCTCTTGAATCCTCAACTGAAAAAAAGCAACTCCTTGCAGGAAAATTCAGTTATTATAAGAGAAAGGAACTTAAAGAAAAGCCTAAACATGAGCTTGTGTGCTTTTCTAATCAGAAAGGGTGCATTCCCTATATTCTAGACTATTTTCTTTTCAATTCTTCACCAGCAACAATGAGAGACACAGCTTGCCAGCCTGTCTCACCATGTACTGCTGCGCTGCAAATGGATTATGCAGTGATAGATGGGAAGAAAGTCTGCAGCTGGCGATCTGCCTTCTACAGGGCCTAATATTCCAGTAAAACCCAATAGAAGGCACATCCCCAGCTGTACCATCCACTAGAAGTGCCACTTGCACATTGTCCTGTTATTTAAATCAATAGATTCCTACTAGGAATCCTACCTCTCTACTAGGAAGGAAGAAGCAGGGGTCTGACTCGTATATCACACAGCATGGGCACTTCCTTTCTTAGGAGTCTCATTTCTTGCTTGCTGTTTACACATGTGAAAATTTCATCTCCTTTGTTCAGCGGGTTTTCAGACTATTGTGACCTAATTTTACTGACTTGATATATTTATTTTAACCCTACATTAGCATGCTATTACACTGTCTTAGGCAAGATATAAGATAAACATGACACACAACTCTCAACTTTTCCAGTGTCAGATAGGTATGTAGTAGAGGGGACTAAAAGGCTATTAAACTATTAAAGTGTGCAAGTAATGAAGTTCCATTAGCAGATACAGAATTAAGCAATGTTTTTACTGGAAGCCATGTTTGCAGGACCACAACTCTTGAGTTGGTTTCTTTAGTCTAATTAAAGTAACTGACTACTTTTCATAGACAGCCCATCAAGAATTTAATGTGAGAAATTATTTTTTCTATATATTGTCTGTTAGTTCTAATTACTGAAATGGCTTTTAAAAATACCAGTTCAGTTTAGATGCATTAAACATCTTAAGAAACTAAACTCCAAACTCTTAATCAATGGCAAAAATTATTTGCTGTGCTGCAAAACCCCTATTTACCCCAGTTTCTGATCTGAGTAACTACCTTTTTCTTGATTTTGCGGAGAAAAATAAATGTGTAAATAAAGAACTGTCAGTTTCTTCTGAACTCTTCTGCAATCTTATCATGTTCCCACTTTCCAGGCAGAGTCCGAGCCAGTCTCTCAGTCCAGAATTGTATGATACTGACTATAAGGACTGACTGGAATGATGATAAGACCAATGGGAATAAAACCTGACAGAGCTACCACATAATGAGGCACTTAGGATTGAAGCTGTTTACACACAGAGGTATTGAGGAGAATCCCTGTTGTAATTTTTTTAACTTTTAACAGTGTCTGTCTGCACTTTCATAAAGTTAGTTTTATAAATTTGCGAGTTTCTGGGAAACAAGCAAACCCAAGAGGACATAAAGCATGCAGAGTGGTCATCTATCTGTTTCATGAAAATATGCCTGACCATGCAGTCATAGAACAGATTTCAGAGTTTCAGATTGTGATTTTTTAAATGTTTCTACATTGAGCAAAAGCAGTCTTTCTTAATAATAGACACATCAGTACTTACTGGGTTACAAACTTCTGGTTTCAGACAATTTATAAGAAGGATAGGTAGTTTAATATTCATTATTACACTGAGCAAAGCAAGTAGTTTGTTTTACAGATATATATACTACCATTAAATTTCCAACAGTGTCAGAACACATGCAACACACTAAAAGAAGTTGCAAACGTGGATTTTTTTTATTTTTTTATTTTTTTTTTTAAAGCAGAAAGTATTTTGACATTATAGAATCATAGACTCATAGAATGGTTTGGGTTGGAAGGGACCTTAAAGATCATCTAGTTCCAATCCCCCTGCCGTCAGCAGGGACACCTTCCACTAGATCAGGTTGCTCAAAGCCTCATCCAGCCTGGTCTTCAACACTTCCAGAGAGGGGGCATCAACAACTTCCTTGGGCAACCTGTTCCAGGCATGACAGACTTCCATTATGACCAGTATCATGATTTCTGTGTGTACCTGACAGCTTGCCTGAACAGAACTCAGGACAAGAATTCAAACCTTTGATGAAGGCTAAACTGGTATTTCCTATTACCCTAAAGAGTGGAAAAGTAGTACTTAAGGCAAGAAATATGAGGAACTCAATATGTGATTTGTCAATGTCAGTGTGCATTTTGTAGATAAAATGTACAGTAAATTTGACTGATGATGTGTAAGAAAAATAGCTGGTGAGGATTTATATATGCTATACATTCCTTTGATTTCTCCTCTATGTACTGAAGGACAATTAATTCACTCTCGTAACTCTAACAGTACGAGACTTTTTTGTCTTTTGCTTTCTCTGTCTCCCTTTCCTGAATGTATAAATAAAAAATCTAAAGGCATGGAAATTTACCATAGCCTGACAAATCGATCACCATAAACCAAAAGAGCTAAGTAAACCACTGAAATTCAATCCATTCACGAGGAAATCTAAGTTTAGTAAATTGTAACTCAGACGTTGTCACTAATTTATGTTGTATTTCTGTTATGAGAACAGAAATAATAACTAGTAATTTGCATTGCTCTGTAGCATATATATTCTAAGAAAAAACAAGTTCACAATAGGATTGCAAATTGTAACTATGATGTCTTTTGGAAAATTAACTTAAGTTTATACTGACAATGATTGGATTAGGCTGTGTAGGAAGATTAATTTCTCCCAGAAAACACATGAAGAATAATGCAAAGTCTAAAGTCTTGTTTTCATTCTGTTGTGTAGTTATTCAGTCAGACAATACAAACATTTTTTTCTGCCAAGAAATGCAAGAATAATTAATTCAGATAACCAGAAAAAGCTGACATTTCAATCACAGGCAAATCAGTTTTTTACTTTAATTTTACTTCTTCTTCCCATAGCTTCTCTGAATTAAAGAATCAGATACTGGGACATCAGAGGAAAAGGTGAAAAAAAATATACTCTTTTCAACACTGAATTTTTGTTTATGTTTCTTATTTTCCCAAAGCACAATGTCCTACCATAACCATTATTCAGTATGTGTTCATTGGTTATTCTGATTTTCACGCAAAACTGAAAATACTAAATGTAGCTCAAGCGACCAGCCACAAGCCTAACTGGAAAATACTGCTGTTCATTATAATGCAGTTTGTGTTTCAAATATCAGACTCCCAAAAGGAGTAGCAGAATTTTCTGGTAAGTAAATAGCTGCTTCCTGAAGATTTCCAGTTCCATTATACAAAATGGAGGAGACACGGGCTGTTCATTTTTTCTTCTGGGAAGCCTGAATGATACTTGCAGACTTGAGGTCAGGAAAGATCTAGTATACTTCTCCAAAAGTCACAACAAGGGAGAAACACGCTGACCAGCCATCCTCTGAATAATCCAGACAGTGATGGCTTTCACTGTGCTATTTTCTTTCTGTTTCCTCTAGTCTCCCACTCAAACAAGGAGTTGCATGAGGCAAAGGGGAAACCCTTCCTGACAATTTGCAATCAACCCTATGTAACAGGATCTTTGAGACTGACAGGTGGCTCCACACAGCTTGTCAATAGGGGAGATGATGAAAGTACCGGATGTTTTGAGTCAGCCTGTAATGAGACTAGAAAAGATTCCTTCCAACACCCACAGACTTTGCGTGCCTGTTGATCAACCCAGCATGGAGGCGCTGAGAAATTTGATTTTTGCATCAGAACCTCAAACAAGTGAGGCTTCAAGAGGAGGACTTCAATCTTTGGACACAATGATACATTTACTTCTGGCTTTTCTGATGTGCCTACCATGCATTGTTGCAGAGAAGTACTAGAAAGAGGATAAATCATTCTATTCTACTTTTATGGAAGATCCTGGCATCTGATATATGAAATAAAACCGATTCTGTTCTTTGTGGACATTATCTGTTTTGTGTAGGCTATTAAAGTAATTCAACTTCAAACTCAATCTAAATTAAAAGTAATTACAGTACACATTGTATAAAATACTTACTAAATTGCATGTAAGTTCTGAGTAAAAAAAAATAAAAATTGAAAAATGATATTACCTTTTTGTACTCTACAAAAGGACATTATAACTTCTCTGAGGAAAGAATGGACATACTCCACATCAATTTATGTAGCTTGAAGTGCTGAATTTCTGCTCAACTGAAATATAACATTACCTAAGCAAAATGTACTCTTTCTTGTCTTGATGGGAAAATGATTCAAATCACTGTCATTGTATGTATAAGAATAAGCAACATATGCTTTTGTTACATTCTAAAACATAGTGAAAATTTATCTGAAGCTATTTTATCAGCCAAAACCAGTAAGAAATGTGATTTTACACATTTTATGTATGGATTCTTTCATTCTGTTGCAAATTCTTCCTTTCTGCCTCATGTTCTCAATATGCCTAACTGTTCTATTTAATGAACAACTGTCACGGTGAACTTTTAAACAGAGAATAATGCTCATTTTGAAAAAGAAATGACAGATTATGGCATTAGATATGTCAAGGCCACCAGGAAATAACTTCAGTGGTATAAAAAAGACAGAGTTTACTTTTATGCGGCTGAAAGAGGTGGGTATTACACAACCTTTATAAAAGACACCGAATTAAAATTTTTGAAGATACTCGGAGAGATAGGAACCTTTTTAAAATCGTTATGAATTATAAAAATAACATTTCCTTCTGTTACAAAATATTTTTAAGATGTTAAAACAAAATTTACATACATACTTATCTGTTAAGATGCAAAAAAATAACGTTCTTTATAATAGTTTATATTTTCCCACATCTTCTCTGGTTTTCATTCCTCCTACTGTTAATCAGGCCCAGAATACATATTATCAAATATGAATATAAATTCATTTTTATTTTTTAGGCTGCATGGGTATAATTGATGCCTACAAGACTCAATAACAACAAATCCACATGAGAAATGCTAATTGATGTCTGTTAGTCCAAGTGAAAAATGAAATAAGGAAATTATTTCCCTTTGTTGGAAATGTTGTTTGAAAAATATTACTTAAAACATAGTAACCCATCTCTCTGGGTTATTATAAAAATAAATTTAAATCTAGCCATAGAATATTAGTAAAAGTTGGCAGACACTTCAGGAAACATCTTCTATGAACTCAGTTCAGAGGACTTAATATGGAGATGAAATTATCTATGGAATTAGGTTTGTGCATGGAATTCAGTTAAGAATGAAAGTAAATGGCAAGAGCACTTTATAATTAATAATTTAAATAGACTGGGATAAACATGAAATTTATATAAATGACAACTGTATGATGGCTTGAGCAGTTACATTTTGAGGCTTTATAAGCAAGTCAGCATTTACACTACACAGCGCACAATACTTGACCCTTTAGATGCTCACTGGCAAGAAAGTCAAAGAATGAAAAAGTCTATGAAAACTGAATTACACATTAATTGCTGCAGACAAACTTTCTATGTCAAGATTTATGCATTCTGGGGGTAACAGTACAACTTTCAGCCAAATTTTACTCCTTTCAAAGAAAGATAATGTGCAAAACCATCATTCAAAAAATTAAACTATCTTAATCAAAAATTCAGTAGGATTTAGCTTATTATAAATATTAGATATGACCATTCAAAAAGCACAGAAGATTTAAATAACCGTTTCTTTCCTTGATTTTCTTTTCTCCCTGCCTTTCCTGCAAAGATTACTCAGGAAGCAACGTGGAGAAGCTTACCCTTCTGAAGTTCATGGTTCAATAGGTTTACACAGTAAAATATTTTCATTGTGATATCTGCTAATTCGGCATTCATCATTATATTTTAATTACATACACAGAGAACTTTCAAAGTCTACTGCTTACCTTCTTCAGGGAAATAATTCCTTCCCTTGTTTCTTTGTCAGTAGATATGGAAAACACCCCAGAGCCATCACCACTTATAATTGTGTACTTCATGTCTGCATTTGAACCGGTGTCTGCATCATTTGCTTTGATTTTGCCAACTGCTGATCCAACTTGAGCTGATTCAGGAACATATAGTTGATAATGTTCTGAGGGGGGGAAAAAATCAAACCATTATGTGCTTGATACACTTCTGAGTAAATATTTAATGTGCACAACTGACACATAAACCTATGAACTTTTTAGATTCCTGAAAGAATTCAAAAGAGAATTGTATTTTACTTAGGATGCTTTCATTCAGTATTCAAAATTCAAATTATCTAATGTAGGATTTTGGTTTTCATAGTTAATTTTTGCTGTTCATCACATAACACAGAAATTAATTCTTCACCAACTTACTATTAAATGAGTAGACAAAAGATTACTTTTGAACTGGAGAGTCTTTGTATATTTATAATTTGGTTTTTCTGAAATCTGATCAGTTTTGCAGCACTGCATCAACATTTTGCAACATTCAATCAGCATGTATTTTTCTTCTACAGAAAAACGTAATCAACCTTAATATTTTAAAATTATAATTTTGTACTGTTTTTGCTGCAGCACAAAACCCTTTGCACACAAATTTTACTTGGTGTCCACTGTAAAGGATGAACATGAACATGAGTACATAAAAGTATTACACAATTTTGCCCACAAAAAGCATCCATAACAACTATGACCTTCTTTCAGTGTTTTTATAACCTGTTAGGTTAATCATTAGAAAATGAAACATTTTTTTGAAAAATAATTTTCTTAACTGTTTCTATCCCTTTGGATTAAATTTCCTCAGGTACAAAGCTGCCTGGAGGACAGAAAGGTGCCACAAGGAGAAAAAAGTGGCAAACTGACACAATGTGATTGCATAAACCTCAATTTCCATCTGAAACTAGGGCAGAAGGACAGCTCAAATTTTCTCCAATAATGCTAGTGTTGTAACACAGCAGGGATGCTGAAACCTACCAGCACTGGAAAGGAGGATACACATTCAATAGAAGGTGTGCACATACCGAAAAACCCCCCAAACAACCCTTCATCTAAATCCCTCCCCAACAGTCTGCACGGTTTACATTACCAGCCAACCACCAACACAGGAAAGAGAGCAAAAAGGCAACTTCTGTTATCATATATCTTCTGAAAATCTACAGAGTTTCCTTTATATTCCTCTTAAGCATTCTGTGATAGCGAAGGGAATAGCATAGCACTGAGATGCAGGAGAGTGGATCAGAAGATGCTACATATCAAAGCTAATGTTATAGTTTGCTGAGTTTAAACCAGGAGCATGACTGCAGAGGTACCCTTGGTGAGCACATAGAAGGACAAACTTTAAACCTGCATTGTGGCAGAAAAACACTATGTGTTGGATGGAACAGAGAAATTATGCATCTACAGAAGTTGCAATTGCAGAGGGAACAGATGTTATCACTAAAATACATCTCACTAACTTTAGACATCTACTAGAAAATAGACAATTTTATTACAAATTTGTTTTATTCCTTGCACAATGGTTCCTAAACCTATTTATAGTCCTGAATTGTTTTTGTAGTATTAGACCATAATATTAATAAACAAATAGTAGTGTGAGAAGGATGGACAAGTACAATAAACTTTGTGAGTCCAAAAAAGAAGTAGTTTCCTAGGAAAACAAAAAATAAGTTAACACGTATTAGGGAAATCTCAAGGGAAACAAGAATTGTCCAGCAGAATAAGAGAAAAAGTTTAATTTACCATGTGAAAAATAAAATAGCGACACTGATATAACAGGAAAATTGCTTAGTAGTCGATTCAAATAAAATGCAGAGTTAATTCTTTTATATGCATATAAAAGCCATCTTCACAAATTTCAAAATAAATGCTCTGCCATGCATTCTTTTGCAACGCTTCGTGCCTACAGATGACGTAAACTGGCACTCATATTGCTGGTTGCCTTACTTCATACATAAAATTACAGTGATGGGATTTATTTTTTGCTAAAATAAATGTGAAATGTGGTCTTTTGACACTTTTGCTCTGACTAATGCATTTCAAAAAGGAAAAGGTTGAGGCCATAAAGAATATGTTATGCAGAGGCCATAAAGAATATGTTATATAATCAAACCACTTCAGGAACTGAAACTGTTATAACTCGTATGATAGGGTGAACTAATTAGAGACTTCCAAATAGTCAAACTAGTTCAAATATAACCACATGACACTACACTCTGCTTTATAATCACACCCCAAGTGTGAGCCATCTGTTTCAGAAAATCATTTTACTGATACCAGCTTCAAACATCCTAAAATACTAAAACTTCAAGCAAAACAAATATTTGAAATCACTCATTAATCTGTCAGTATTTACAGAACTGAAATGTTTGCAAAAAGTGAATGGAATGAAAACTGTTAAAAAGTAAAAACTCTGAAATCATAAGAAATGTCTCCCAACAAGTATTTAACCACTGCTTCATAGAGACAGCCTGAAGATGTCTCATACAGACATGAGCCAAATAGATAATTATAAACAATATTATCTAAAACTAACAAACACATAAGAGGATAAAATTCAGCAACATGAAGAATATATTATAGACATTTATTTAGACTAGTGGTGGAAACTGGAAATGTTCTTACTAAACACTAAATCATTGTAAACTTTATTACTGCAAAGTAGAGGAACTGATTAAAGGCTCAGTTGAACATTTCCTTGGGCACTGAATAAATTTTGATAGGACATTAAAAATAATGTGGGATGGATATAATGTGAATTTATGATTTTTTTATTGTAAGCTATGAGTCTGTCTCAACCCTATAAAATTAGTTGGGAAGTTAGGAGCCCTGAGGATCAGGTACCAGTCTGCATCAAAACTCTTTCACTAAATCGGCCTGAGTTGAACAGACTGTTCTACGCTCCCAGCATTGCAGCCTTCCAGGAGCTGCTGTAAAGCAGAAATTTCAAACAGTCTTGAGGATGCTCTAAATTGTTCTAAAGGAGCTGCCTGTTGGCTTATGGATCAAGATTCTGTAGAAGTTAATTTGGTTCTCAATTTTTATGCTAATATTAACTCAGATGCACTCACTTTGCTCATGAAATTAGTAAACATAGTCTTTTCCAGTTGATGTGCTGTATAGGCTAGTCATACCCCTTTGCAAAACTTTAATGTATGCTAATTGAAACATTGTTCAAATACATATAGGTGATCTTCATCTTTCTTTCAATAAACTACATGCTTATCTTCCATTATAGTAAAGAAACCATTTATTGATCTGTAAAACAATTTACTTCTCATTTCAATTGGCCTACAGGCAATCTATAATGCTGCAGTTTACTGTCAGAAAAGCAATTTCTCTGCCTGAATCTCTCAAAAAAAGAAGTGTGACAGTATTTAATGCAACTCAACAAGCATGTTATTCTCATTATTTTGTTCATTAATCTATTTTGTTGATAATTTTGACTTACTTTTCTAGGTTATAATGTCCTCTTGAACAGTAGGAATTACCTTACTTAACAAAGGAAAGGAAGAGAAGCATAATACTGAAGGAATAGAAACATAAGTAAATATTTGGCATGCTTGTTATTTCTTTATCCCAGGTACATTTTTAGTAACATGAGGATAAATACTGCTAGGTGATGAACCAACAGATGCATTCATTCATACAGCACAGCTCATACACTAATGCCTTTGTTTATCTGCTAGCAAACTGATAAACACAGCAACTGATTACCTTAACATAAAATACCACCATACCCTAAACGTCTATCAAAGTGCTACGTAAAGAAAGTTTCCTTGTCCCTACAACTAGTTGAATATTCAGTCATGAGCCAAATTGATCCGATATGGAAAATAAATGGACAGTGAGCCAGGCTCAAAGTCTGATGATTATGAACACAAAATTCAACTGGCAGCCAATTAACAACAGTTCAAGAATCAAAAACAGTGGCCAATACTATTTAATGTCTTAATTAATGACCTGAACGATAGATTGCATGTACTCGTAGCAAGTGAGTGGACAATACCAACTTGGGAAAAAGTGGTCAGTATGCTAGAAGGCAAGGCTGCTGTTCAAAGGGATCTAGACAGGCTGGAGAAATGGGCTGACAGGAACCTCACAGCGTTCAGCAACAGCACCGAAGAAGGAATAGTGCCATTCACTAGTACACACTTAGGGCCAACTGCCTGTAAAGCAGCTTTACAGAAAAGGACCTTTCAAAACTTGACTAGACAAGGCCCTAAGCAACTTGATCTAACTGAACCTGACTTAAGCAGAGGTTTGGGTCAGGTGACCTTCTGGAGGTCCCACATGAATCTAAGTTCTTGGAAGTTATGTCTCACGTTTTACTGCCAACCATCTGTGATAAAACTAATGTGCAGCTCCATCTGTGGACTGTGCTCAATCTTGCTTGGTGGCTTTCTATTACAAAGTTATTCTTCATTCACAGAAATGCTTCTTTTCATTACATGTAATAGATTATGCTGGATTTCTCTTTTGAGACTGCAGATTTTTGGAAGTCCATTTCTCACAGCATTTCTTGGACATTTGTTACATCTTTATTCACCGTGCTTATCTTTAATATAATAAAAACAATTTTAATCCATCATCATTATGAATATAGTAACTTCTATGATTCCAGAAGCTCAGTCAATTTTATGTCTACTGTCTTTGTTCCAAATATTATTTTTGATGACATCTCTTTCATACAGCTAAACTAAGGAAGACATTTTTAAGATTTGTGTTTGGCTTATTCTTCCCTGCTGAAAATAACAATGCTTTTGCACTTTCTAAAAATATCTGAAGTGTAAGTGAAGTTATTTCTTATTTGCAAATATGAAATAAATCAATCTTCAAAACTCAGGTATTTTGCTTGCCTTGAAACTGTGGAGAACATAACACTGAGGTCAATTTAGAAAAAAAACATTCTTCTTAGATGTAATAGTTTCCTTTGCCTGGAAAAAGACTTGTGCATCCCCATGCCTGTGTTATTTACATCTCAGTGCAAAGAGGGAGTTATGTTTGTGATTAAGATTATAATCAGTGATCAGTTCGATTTACATTCCATGCAACTTTACCTTAACAGACAGTAACTAAAAGTACCTGAGAACTCTGTGACTAATTCTTAGA